CTGTCAAACTTTTGTTGTCTGTAAATGTTTATGAGTCGTCTAGCCCAGTCAAGAAACCCTTCTGAAAGGGTAGAAATAAACTTGAATCTTCCTATTCCATCCTATCTATTTATTTATATAATCTCAAATATCCCCCAGTCGGTAGGAGAGCTCATCATGACATAGCAGTAGTGGCAACATTCTAGGGGAAGTGGCAAAGCTCAAAAATACACCACGAAATAGTACAAAAGAGGGATTGGACTAAGTGCCATGTGTAAGAAGACATTTTATGGTGCAGTCTGTGTTTCATCCCTTAGCTGTAAACCATGGAATGATCAAAGCGCAGCCAAATGCTTCTGCCGAAAGAAGCTGGTAGCTTTTTCACCAGTGAACCATATCACCAGTGGACTGACCATTGGATGATGCAGCACTGGTCAAAGCAACTGGAAAAATTGCCAAATGAATGAAGAGAGAGATGCAAAAAAAAAAAAAAAAAAATTAACAGCCCTTCTATGTGATTTCAAATTTCAGCAAAAAAAAAAAAATAGATCATCAAGGAAAGTACCTGAGGCGAAGAATTTGCGAAGCACCTTTTAATTTACAACGAAAATAGTCCTGAAGAAATTCTTCGTCGTCCAGATTCTGAAAAACAATTTCTCAAACTGTGATACCAAATTCAAAACATATTCATGGGATCCAGTGCTGCGCTTGAAACTTCAAAATGCGCACTGTTTACGCGTATTTCAGATATTTCAATAATAACACTGTCGAATTTTTGCTAGTTGCTCAAAAATGGCTCAAGGATTCCCTACTATCTTTTCCATCACAATTTATTAAACTAATCAATACGGAAGGCAGTACGGGCCTAAAAGGCCCTGTGAAGAAAAGAAGGAGCCCAATAGCTAAAGGTATTAGACGGGGGAACCGCAGAAATCGTGCATGCAATAGGAAAGTGCAGGGGTGGGGCGGTAATCGCCCAAGGTCTGTGGTGATAATGAAAGAAAGAAAATAAAATGGTCAGATTATTGTGACGAATATTTTTTTAAATAAATCAGGGTGGGATTAAAAAGAAGTCATGTGAAGAGTTGCATGTAAAAAAGCCTGCCTGTGTTTCATCCCCAAGCTCTAAACACAGACAGCACGAGACGTGATTAGGGGCGGGAATCATCAGTACAGCCCCCTAAACACCATGTTTGAATGAACATAGCAGTAGCCGGTTTAAAGTTTTCGGACTGCGACCGCTCCAAATTTTCCACGTTTCGGATCGCCTGCTTGCATCAGAGATTAGAGCTCGGTCCGCCAACGGCACGAATTATTTTAACAATCTTATCCTACCCTTCGTTTTAACTTTCTGACTCCGGCCGTTCCACATTTTGATTTTTTTGTAACGTCCAACTTCTTTTAAGGTTACGATTCGGCTTTCTAACGGCCGTAATTTAACATTCTGACTACTCGTTTTCACGATTTTTCTCGATCAGCTACGTTTGGCTCAAAACGTCGAAGTTTCAAGCACCTAATCAATTTGTTTCCCAGCAAGATTATTCAAGACACTTTGTTTGCGTAGCTGAAGCAGCTGTCATGAACGGAGCTCCTTTTGCAAAAAAAAAAAAATAGGCAAGAAGGGATTCAACCCCATATCTTCACGGTCTCCCAATCTCCCAAATGTAGCGTCTTACTACTTCAACAAGTAGCCTGAACCTTCCCAAATTTTTGCCAATCTTTCGCGGGTGTCCGCGACCAATTCACTGTACATACAGGCTCGCTTATTTGAGAGGTCTAAATGGCATTTCCAGTGCTTTTGTTAATTATCAAAATTCGACGGTGTTCCTCTCCCAGTGGGCCAGCAGCGCCAAACAAACTGCATATGTTAACACAGAGACGATTTCAGGCCTCCATCCTCTTCCAGTCTCTTAGCCAGGAATATTCTCATCGTTTATATCTCTAAAGTTTTTATAACACCTACTGAACTAATATCAATCATACAGTTATCCTAAGAATGAAAAAAATTTATTTTCCGACGAATTTGAGTTGACCGAATTCAACAAACCTCGGCACCAAATTCGGCTGCATATTCCAGCTTAAAAGCGATGGACAGTTCGCTGCCAGTTGAGTCGATGCCATCGATGTTACCGCGTATTAGCAAATCAACATCCTGAGTTCCATCATGTCCAAGTGAAAATAACGCGTAGCGTTTGCTGAGATCAGCACCTTCGAACCGGGAAAACCCGCCCTCTTCCACCAGTCCTTAAAGTTTGCAAAAAATTATTATGAAGCTTTTAAAATATCTGTTTATTCAAAGCAAGTGTTCCTAGTTGGTAGGGAGTATACCATCACTGTTACAAATTTTGGTGATCGGGAATGAAGGGTATCGAACCACTCGTCTTCAAATCTGAACATTTAGGGTATCGAACCACTCGTCTTCAAATCCGAACGCGAAGTGCTCATCCGAGTGCGCCATCAGTTGTTGTACCTCACGAAAAGCCTGGAGCGCTTCTGGTGCATGCCTATATTGCTCAGTACATACCAAGAGTATTTCGAAAGCCTTGGTAAGTGCTTCCACTGGAAGAACTACTAAGCCAATAATTCCTTTAAGAGACGAAACGAACATCAGGACCAACGGCAAGCTGGTAAACCAGGCAGAGCAGTACAGATTAAAGCTATCAAAATAGTTAGCAGCTACTTCAACCGGCAATTGTATAAGTATACCGAACAGATATTCAAGGCAAATAATGAAAAGGCAATCAAAATTAGACATAAATGGCATAAAATGTATCCCAGAAAGAAGCGAAAAGCCAGCAAACAAAAAGCCACCACAAATCCGTGTATTGTCGATTGTCAATAGACAAGAAAGCTAAAAAAAATGCTGCCTTGAAAATAGATACACAGTAGATGTGCTCCAACACTGTTTTGTCAGGTACAACAACTGATGGCGCAGTGGATTAGCACGTCGCGTTCGGATGTAAAAACGAATGGTTCGATACCTTCCCGGTTCACAACCTTTTTTGAAAAGGGCTCTGCTCACGACACCGTATACTGCTGAGTGACAATATGTAGAGGGGACGCCTTCAGGCCTACCGTATGGTAAATTGAAATAATTTCTATGGAAAAAAGCTCGTATGACTACTTCAGTGCGCTATTGAGCATATCAAACATGCTCATGAAGCACATTTTCTACCCGTCACGGAAACTACGATTATTCAAAAACAGTAAAAATTTTTCTCTAGCAAGTTTGACTGAAATATTGGCCAAATATAAAGTAAACATATTAAAAGACCAATGCAAAAGCACACCTCCATAATCATTCGACCAATCACTTCGGTTACTGTAGTTCATTTCGTTCATTATATCGCCCAAAATATCATCACAGAAACTGCAAATAAGGCAAATAAAAATTACCGTTCCATTAAAGATTCCGTATATGATGCGTATAAAGACAAACACACACACACATATATATACATACAGTGTACGCACGCATACAGTGCACAAACGTACAATACGCACATACAATACACACACATACAGTACATACATTATACACACACACTGTACACACATACACTGTACACACATATACTACACACACATACACTGTACACACATACACTGTACACACATACATTATACACACATACACTATACGTACATACACTATACACACATGCACTATACACACGCACACACACACACACACACACACACACAC